TTTTATCTAGTTATCTCTTGAAAAAAAAATAAGCGGTTTGCGATCGTGATTTTACTTTACTTGATAGGGAAAGGCGTATTGGCAACGCCGCAACAGCACACCGTCGCGCGTCGCCTCGGTCGGTCGCATTTCTCTCACTCCGATTTAATAAGATCCCTATGCGATTTACTTCCACACATGTAAATGCCGACCCAAAAGTAACAGTTGCCAGCACTGTATACCGTGTGGTGCATCGGAATAAGTCCCATGTAAATTTTGAAAATGTCAAATATTATCTCCTCAGATAATTTTATGCAAAAATTGTATTAGATTTTTTTGAAGAGGCGTTAAAGTTGTACTTTCGTCTAGAAGTTCGTTTCATTTGGAAGCGGCATTTAAATGTTGTTGAATCTAGTTCAACTAATAGTCCAGTCAGTGGGATGTTTTGCCATACAAAAGGTGGTGTAGTAGTAATTTTTTATATGTTGTTAAGGTTTGGGTCTTGACAAAAAATCCAAGTTTTCGACCTTGGGGTGGGACCGCTCGAGCCGCCATCTTGGATAGAAGGTACAGTGATGAAAAGTTGAACATATTTTTCAAAAAAATAGAATAACTCCCCGATTTTGTAATTTTTCCGAAATTCTTGCTATTTTTAGGTATAATTAGGTATTTATTATAAGTATAAACAATGAAGCGGCTGGAGTAGTAGTGAACGGAGTTCCTATAAACAATATACGATACGCAGATGATACCGTACTGCTAGCAGAAAGTATACAGGACCTGCAACGAATGGTCTAAAAAGTGTATGAAACAAGTATCTATTATGGCTTGAATATGAACCTTAATAAAACAAAATTCATGATATTTACCAAAACACCAAATCAAAATACTCAACTGATCGTAAACCATCAGATAATAGAGCGAGTCTATAAATATAAATATCCAGGAACCCTGATCAACGACAACAATGATTACTCATCAGAATTAAAAACGAGAATTGGAATAGCACGTAACACCTTTATTAAAATGAAGCAATTCTTTTGTTGCAAAACTTTAAGCAGTGGCGTATCCAGGATTCATACCTGGGGGGGTCAATAGCTCAATATTATACCTAAATATATGTTTTGAAGTGAAATGAGCAAAATTCTTACAACTTTAATGTATATTAATAAATAATATTTTTTTGCCTTTAGCTGTGTATTTTTTCTAATTTCGAAAAATCGAAAGTAGAGAAAAAAAAATAAAAAGTAAAAAGAAAATTGTTTTGCTTGTCGTAAAGGGGGGAGAGATTGGTTAAGCTAAAGAGCTTAAGAGCTTGGATAGCTGCACAGCCTGTTTCTGGGCCTCCCACAGCCGGTTTCTGGGCCTACCCTTCATCAGGTGGGCTGTCCAGTGGCTGGTTCTCACCGATACGGCAAGTAAAACTTTTTCAATATCAACAGACAATGTCGTAAAGAGTGGGTGAGATATTAGTGAATCTCCCGTCATATTAATATATGTTTTTTATATTAACAAGTAAGTACCTACCTAATTACAGCTAGGTACTATGGTAAATAATAGGTATAAATAAATAAAAATTATTTTTTTTAGGAAAATGGTTTAATAAGTAACATTACATCACAAAAGAGCAAAAAATAATCTTTAACACAAAGAATTAACCAAAAATTAAAGAAACAAATAACAAAAAAGAAGAAACAAACAAAACGCCAAGTGAATAAAGAAAAAACGCAGATACAAATAAAATTAAATAACAATATCCAGCTTTCTGGCTTTTGGCCTGCATTTCATTAAGTACCTCTTCTGTAGGGGAGAGTGGGGCAAGTGCGGCACCTTAACGTTCAATGATGTACTATTTTTTTATTTTAAGAAATAGAGAGAGAAAAACGTTTATTACATAAATACTAACTTTAACTGTATAAGTAGTAATCTACCTTAAAAAAATAAACAAAAAATTAAATATTTGGTTAAATTTCAGATTTACAAAAAAAAATGTCAAATGACTCACTTGCCCCAAGGTATGGGGTAAGTGAGTCATCCACAGACTTAGCTAAGTTTTTGGACATGATTGACAAATTGACACTTTCCGGATTGGAGTTCTTTTGAAGAATGACCTCAACAGACGCTCTTTTTGAATTAATGGATTCTTCTTGAAGAATATTATCGGCCGCGTCGCTTTCTTGATTGGATTTTATGGTCGCTCTATTCTATTTCCAGTATTCACAATTTTATGTTCATTTGTGCAGTGAATACAGGTTTAAATCTGCCTAAGTTTCTAACTTTATTGAGCCCTTGACGAGTTAATCGTGAGTGTATGGTTGTGCTCGGGATATTGAAGACAACACTTGCTCTTTTTAATGACATTTTCTAATTATGAACAGCTTCTAAAGCACGGGGCAGAGCATCCTCTGAATTTGACCCTCTTTGTGTCTTACGCACGTAGTTCCGAACCATCTTCAACCTGCGAAAAAGAACGAATTATTTATTTATTACTTAAACTATTGTGGGGCAAGTGAGTCATGAAAAAGACTCACTTGCCCCAAGGTGACATTAATAATTCGAATATTTCTTTAAAAAGAAACAGGTAGATTTGGCAACGTTGTACATATCAGGCGTTATTACAGAGATAGTGGGTTATGTTATGAGCATAAAGAAATGTCCAAATATTGCCCTTAATTTATGAAAAAAATCTAGGTAATTCGCCTTAAATATTACATCACATGATGTGGAATACGAAAAATATTTATATTTACCTTAATTTTAGCAATCTTCAGCTAGATTTTCAATAACACTATGCACTTGTTGATAGGTACGTAAACTTTACTGATTGTTGTCGGCTATGATGCCAAATGTATGAATTATTTCGAAAGACGCACTTGCCCCCTGTGCCGGACTTGTCCCACTCTCCCCTACTACCAGATATTTCCGGATACATATACAAAAGGGACAAGCCATTTAGTCTGTCCTCACTTACGGTGTTACTTAGGTAGGACTTTAACAATTTTAGGGTTGAAAATTGGTAAAGTTAAAGTAAAGTAAAAAATCTTAGGTAGGTACAAAAAACGGTAAACACATTAAGAATAAGATGAATAGGGAGATGTAAGAGTATTCCCTATTATAATTATACGCCTATACAACAATATAAAAAAATAAAAATAAAAATCTACCTATAATGGTAAATACATTATAGTTTTTGTGAATATGTAATGGCAAAATATAAATTGGACCGGCGCGCGTCGTGTCTGGAGGGGGCAATTGCCCCCTTTGCCCCCCCCTGGATACGCCACTGACTTAAGCTTAAGTAACCACCTTAAAATACGAATGCTAAGATGCTACATATTTACAATAATGCTCTATGGTATAGAAGCTGCCACTCTAACAAAACAAATGCTTAAAAAGATAGATGCCTTCGAAATGTGGCTTTACAGAAAGGTACTCCGGATATCATACGTTGACAGAATTACCAATGAAGAAGTCTTACGAAGAGTCTCAAAAGATCTAGAATTGTCCCAAGAGGTGAAGATCAGAAAACTCCAATATATGGGCCACGTAATGAGAGGTACAAGATACAAGCTTCTACGACTAATTATCCAGGGTAAAATACTAGGGAAGAGAAGCATAGGAAGAAGACGGATGTCGTGGCTTCGAAATCTCAGAGAATGGTTTAACTATACATCAAACGACCTGTTCAGGGCAGCAGTCAACAAAATAAAATTAGTCATGATGGTCGCCAACCTTCGTAAGAAGTCGGCACCTTAAGAAGAAGAAGAAGATAGGTCAAAACAACAACAGCGGCTGGTGAGGTAGTGCCACGAAAAAAATATGTTATAACCTTCATATGTCTCATTGAAATATAACGCACAACATAAAAAAAATACTAAAAATAAGGTAGTGCAATGGCGATTTATTAGCGTTTTCTTTTCTTTGATGGTCCGGGTCGGTTATTAATAACGTTTTGAGTATTGTCTTCGGTGTCATCGTAATCGGTGCTTATGGGAATATATTGCTCTTCCATTGTTAATTGTCTTGGCCATCTTCGTCCTCAATGTCGATGTGAACCTCTGGGACATTTTCGCATGACTGACCACTTCAGAAGCCACATACAACGGAACACTTCAACCCAGCTTTCCTGCAACTACATGCTGCGCGGCATCCTTTTCTACAAGTGCATGAAATGAATTTCAATAAGTTGCCGGGTGCTGCTTTTTTTGTCATGGTGAGTGGAACAAGCCCATTGCTGCCCAGTTTCCAGCCCCAGTCTTCAGGTTTTTTCTCGATTCCATACCATTTCTGGACTTAATGATATGTCCTGAAAGAATGATACAGCGCAGCATCCTTCGTTGGTGGCAATGAAGCAAGATTGGATTTACTTTTATTTTTTACTCATGTTTTAAACTATTAGCTGAATATATTCGCCAATTTTGCCTTTTCCTGGTTGCGGAGATAGATGTTTCCTTGAGACGGTGCAAATGCTGTCAGCAAAACGAGAAGGTCAACGTCTTCGCCAACTACGAAAACAGCATCAAATTTTGGGCACAAGGAAATCGCTGTTCTGACAATCAACACATCGGCATCTTCTTCCGCCTGGTTGATAGTAATAGCAGCCTGCTCCATTTTTTTGGTGAGCATCGAAATTAAACGGCCTTTATTGTTTTCGTTAGCTAAAAATAATTCCTGGGAAACTTGAACGGGCATTGTTTCATCGAGGAGGGCATCCGCAGATATTTGCTTCTTCGATCGGCGAAGTCTCTCTGCGGCCTTGGTATTCCTTTTGGCTCCATACTCGGATATCCATCAAAAACAACGACTTTATTTACTTTTCGGAAATATGCGCAACTGAATCATTACAGTGCCATACAACTTTGTGCAAAAGGTATCCTCCATCAAAAATATTGATTTGGTTATCTCCGAATTCCACACTTTCTGGAAGTTGTGTAAAAATGAAAAATAATAAATTTTGATCGTAAGATTAACCGCTGCGGATATATTTTGAAAAATACAGTTTTTTGTATCTTTAATTCAAGATGGCGGCTCGAGCGGTCGCACCCCAAGGTCGAAAACTTGGATTTTTTATCAAGACCTAAACCTTAACAACATATTAAAAATTACTACCACACCACCTTTTGTATGGCAGAGGCCTATAATGGCCCCCACTGATTGGACTATAATTCTTATGTAGACGATCATTCTAATTAAAAAAAATAACAAGCCTTTCCAAACTACACAAATTGTTGTAAACAAAATGTGACATGGAATTTAACAATGACAAAATCATATTTTTGCTGGTATTTTAATTGTAGCTTTCTCTGGGCTGAAGGTAGATTTTTGTAAATAACATTTAAATGCCTATTCCAAACAAAACGAAATTCTAGACGAAAGTACAACTTTAACGCCTCTTCTAAAAGGTTTAATTTTTGCATAATATTTGATCTTTTCAAAATCTACCCTATGTCCCGTGCTCTGATGCACCAGACGGTAGACATTATTTACATTAGGCTTTACCTCACTTATTATTAAAAGAAATTGACTACACAATTTCATTATGTAAGACCCTGTATATTTTACGTCATAATATTCTAGATATATTTCAAACGCCGTAACAAAATCACACCAATTTTGTCCAGCGAGGCTTCAAAGCTTATCGCTCCAGATTGTTTAGACTACATAAGGGCAACCGGCGATAATATAAACAGAACGCTGGTCACGGCACTTAAAAAAATATCTTAAGGCTCATAGTTTTTTATGAAAGACGCACACAATATCGGAGAGGTTCACTTTAATATTTAGGTTGGCATTTAGTTGCTTTTGAATCTTTTAAAGAAGTGAAGTGTCGCTAAACGTTAATTTAAATACGAGCTAAATAATTAATTTAAATAGTTATAAAATTGTGACAGTGTTGTGGCAGTGTTAGAGCTACAGGCAGTGTTAGAACTACAGGCAGTGTGGCAGTGTTAGAGCTAAAGTATTATAGGGTGAGTTGATTCACTGAGTATGCATTTTCTACATGTTCTGGTTTAATTTATAATTGATTTATTTAAGAGTTATTAGTTTAAAGAGTTATCTTCTTTATAATAATTTGTTTGTATCTGTAACTGAAACAGACCTTTGCGTTTGGTGTCATTGCACGTCTCAGTACAGGGTAAATGTATTATTTTTAAGTTATTATTAGTAATGACAAGGGTTCGCTATTTGGGTGGCAAGGGTTCACCAGTTGTTTAAAGAGCTAGTGGTAAGGGTTCACTAAGCTGGTGGCAAGGGTTCGCCAGTTATTTAAAGAGTTAGTAGCAAGGGTTCACCAGTTATTTAAAGAGTTAGTGGCAAGGGTTCACTAGGCTGGTGGCAAGGGTTCACCAGTTGTTTAGAGAGCTAGTGTCAAGGGTTCACTAGGCTGGTGGCAAGGGTTCACCAGTTGTTTAGAGGGGCACTTCGCGTTTAGTGCCGTAATATGTTTTGGACATTTGTGAAGGGTGTTTTGCGTTTAATACCCGTTGTAACATTTGAACTGTGATATTTTACCTTAATAATATATATCAGGAATTTTGTAGGACCGGCATACTCACAAAGATTTTTTTTTCAGGCAACTCTATGTCATGAACCATCCTGAACAAGAACCTGCCTTACCCATAGCCGTTCGAATTAAAGTTTGGTTTCTTTTAAGTTTTTGTTTATTTACCAATGATTATTTTATATTTTTTTACATTTATTAAATTCGATTAAAATTTAATATGCTCAGGCTTTTTGGTACCATAATTATAATAAAGACCATTAGTATTGTTATCTTTGGATCACACAAATGCATAATTTTATATTCGATTTCAGCCGTCAATACTGGAGCTATTTTTGGACAATGTAGAGAAAGGATTTTCCGGATATCTGATGCGCTACAGGCAATCCGCCAGTTTTATACCGCGTTAGACAGATTGCATACAAAATCTGTGCCGGTTTCGAATTTCTTATTTTATTCGCGATTAATGTATATATTGCAGAAATGTTTTGTGCGTAGTCCTGTTCTAATTTTGAACTGTAACCATTAAGAGAAAATCGAATAACAAACTTCATAAATGATGCAAACAAACTAAATATATAGGTAATTTAAATAACTTAATAAATTGTTTATTATACAGGATCGCTGATTTGTATCCGAACGGTTATTAGGTAAAATATAAGAGATACGGCAAAAAGTTAAATATAAAAGTTATAGGGTTTTTAAATATCTATTAGCGGGTAATAAATTTAGTATACATCAAAATTTCATTTTTTTAAATACAACCCCCTGTATGTTATTGCCATATTTCGGTTCTTCCTTCAATTGTACGCAAAAATCGAGATATGCACAATGTACCTCAAACCAACCGTTTCCGAATTATTGACTTTTGAAAATATCACTGAAACAATTCAGTTCTTATATTTTTAATATTTTTTTAAGAAAAGCTGAAAAATATATATTTTTATTTATTTATTATTATCTCTAAAGCCCCATACTCACACTTCGCTCCTTCTTCGCCTTACTTCCTCGCGTTACTTCCTCGCGTTCCTTCGTCCCTTCGCTTCCTTCCTTCGTCCATTCGATGCTTGAAAATTAGTCAGTTATGCAACAACACACCACTAAATATTTTTAATATGCAGCTACATGTTTAATACGAAATATCTAGTAACCTCTAAAATTTTTAAAAAATCCGAAAGGCGCATAATTTTTATTTTATAAAACTGCAATTCTTTGTCGTGTCAAAAATAAAAATTGAATTTTAATAATATTTTTTTTTTTAATAAATCCGAATATTTCAGTATCATGTACAAGGTATATCAGTATGAATGTACAAGGCGAGTCAACAATAGAGTAAAGTTTATTATGTAATTTATATCGAAACCATGAAATATGACATGCTAATTAAACGTTAATGATGTCAATCCCCATTTCTTCAGATATTTTTGTAAAGCCATCATGCACATTATTTCTATTTTTTTTATTTTTGTCGCTACGATTACATAAATATGGACATGCATTTTTTCACAAATATGAAGACAATATTGTTTTTTTCTTCCATTTTTTAGACTATTGTGTGTGAATTATTTTTATTTCGACTGGCGATTGCTAGATGTACAGGATGTCCCATTTGTGTGTGTTTTATGGGGTTTCTGGTTTATGAGTAGAGATATAAAGATGCTGTTTTCACATCATTGTTCTACTTATTATGAAACTAAATATGCTACATAAGAAATAAGAAATAACTTTTTGAACTAAGAAGCTAGGATAAAAATATGTATTTATCCTAGCCTTCTTAGTTCAAAGTTATTTCTTATTTCTTTCTTTTACTTTTTTATTTTTAATTAGTAGAATTTTTTGCATTTTTCGATAACCTTTGTATCTCGATTATCTTATAACTTATCGAGGTGAAAAGGGTCAGTGATGGGCAGTGGGTAAGTACCAATTTGTAGATAAATAAAATCTGGGTATATATGTATATCCTGTAGATTTAGATGAACATCCTAATTTTAATAAAAGGAGTTTCCGACGACCGCATAGTAAATACCCGGTATAATACCGGGAATAGAAATATACCAATATATAATATCTACAATATATATAAGAAATATTGTAGATATACTCGTATTCCTGATATTATTGGTATTATATCGGGTATTAACTACGCGGTCGTTGGAAATACCTTTTATAAAATTAGACTGTTCATCTAAATGGACAGGTATATACTGGATACCCTGATTTTTCATTTTCACCGCCCGTGTCTCGTTTTTCAGGTAGAATGGCAGTGACGAAAGTCACGTTACTTCGTTGGGAGCTGTCTATTTCGAAAAATGACTCAAACTTATGTTCTTTTTTTAAACAGGACACTCTATATTTTATTTTTTATTTTATTTGCCTTGTTATGAGCTATATATATTATATACTCTATATTTATTTATTTAGGTACTGCTAAACGGCTCTTATTTTATTTAATTTAATTTTACCAGATAATTTTGCTTTGCATCGTGATATTTTGATAATATACACGCAAACTGAACTTGTGCTGCTTTCAAATAACATGCCAATAACCAACATTTTACGTCGAATAAATTAGTTGATTGTTTTGATTACATAATTTAAACCGGCCGACTATGTAATAAAGTTAAATAATGCATTTTTACCCCGTTTATGAAAATAAGTATTTTAGAAAGCTCCTAACAAGGAAAATAAAATAATATACAAAATATCGTATTTAAAAAAACATATAAGTTTTAGTCAATTTAAAAAAAGACAGATTCCAACGAAGAAATAGTTACGTCACTGCATTCTACGTGAAAAACTGTACGGGAGACCGTTTTCACCTTTTCGATAAGTTATGATAGAAAGGGGATGGAAAAATGCAATAATTTCAGATTCGCCCTGTATTTTATTAAGTAAGAGAGCTAGGACATAACTGTATGTAGCATCTTTAGTTTCATAAAAAAGTAACAGCGTAATGTGAAAACCGCATCTTTGTATTTCGACTCATAAACGAGAAACCCTGCAAAACACACGAAAATGGGACACCCTGTACAGACGTACTGCCAAATCAAGAAATCAACTACGAATGAAATCCAAGATCGATTTATATATTTTATATATTTTAATATTTTTTTGTGTTCGTGATAATTCCTTTGCTACTTCCTCCAAAAACCGACAATACGTGGAAGGAGCGTTTCGAGGAAGTAAACGGACGAAGTAGCGTTTTGACGAAGGAGGAAGGAACACACAGTCGCATAAAATCGACATTTTCCCATAGTAAATATATGATTTTTGGATGAAGGGACGCGAGGAAGGAACGAAGTGAAGCAGCGAAGTGTGAGTATGGGGCTTAAAACTATCGAAATATATTTACTCATATTTTAGGATCGTGTAAAGTGATATGAAAGGAAGCCAAAAATGCAATAATATACAGGGTGTTATATTTTAAAAATCATCTCGATTCACTCACACTTTTTTGAGCCACCCTATAGAAGTTAAGATATTTTCCTAAAATACATCCTAGTACATACTTTAGGTTTGCACTTAAACAAAATTTCCAAGTTTTTCATTCTATATAGGAGCTACAGATACTCGACGCACTATTGCCGGACAATGTATATTATAAAACATTTTTCTCAGGCTCTATACATTATATTTTTCTTTCCAGAACCTCCTAGATCATCACCTCAGCAAGACTCTATGGCTGTGGTAGCCGGTGTGGGAGCAACGACATTTACTCCTACAGAAACTCCTACTACAAAAGAGCCATACACGGAAGAGGATATTCCAGTGGATTATCCTCAAACTAGTTCCACTGTAAGTAGCTTGGCCAATTTTCTTTTCTTTATAAAGATAAAATTAAGTCTTTGGGTTTATTGTTACTTTGTAGTCCAGATTCCTAGCTTAATAGGATAAGTACAAATTACTCTGCTACTTATCCCCGATACTTATTTCACTGTCCCCCCCCCCCTTCTATGGGATATACCAAAAGACAAATCAAACATCTCTGACGCAACCATATAAAAGTTAAAATGCATAAAAATATATTCCTTTTCAAGATTTATTTTTAATAGTAGGTAATTGCTTAAGCGCAATTTTAAATATCATAAAATATAACGTTAAATACTAGGACAGTAAAATATTCAGAATAAATGTACCAGGTTTTTCGAAAGTGGCTCACCCTTATAACTTTATTTTTTCAGATAAAATAACGAGATTTGGTATGTTAGTATATGACATAAATTAGGATTGATTGACGTACCTATTCAATTGTTCTTAGTCACTTCGTGTTTCACCGGGAATAACACTCGAGAGTAGAATGACATATCATACGTCAACTTTTGTCTTGCACCACCAAATCTGAAAAAATAAAAAAGTTTTAAGTAAAAAAAATTAATCATATTTACAGTTTACAACTGTCTTCTTTTTTGGTAAAAATATGAAAAATATCGAAATTTAGTTCACATCGAGATTTATTTGTAACTCTGATTTCATTTTAAATACAGTGGTTTTATAGAAAAATGTTTGCTTTGCTTTACTCTTTTGCCTTGAAATTAATTATTCTAATATAACAAAAAAATTGAAACAGAAATAAATTTAAACTCTATTATTTTCAATAAAATTACAAAATATGGGACTTCTGGTTTTCTCCATATTTTTTCCATAGAGCATGTCAAATTTCATATTTACTAACACAAATCAGGCCATTATAGTTTGTCTTAAAAAGCATCATGCTGTACTAAGGGTTGTGGACCATGGAAGGCCACTGTAACAAATAAACAGTTTTTATTAGTTCATTTACTGGATAAAGAAACAAATTATTAATTAACACTTTGTTTTATTGTACATGGTGGCGCCTCTCATACGCCGCGGAAGCTCCAAGGAGAACGGTAGTTTATATCGAAATGAAATTTTGGCAACATATGTAGATTAACTGAAAGCATTTTATAAAAATATATAAAATTATACAGGGTGTCCCCAAAAAAAGTTACACATCAAAGTTGTGTTTTTTCTAATGAAACACCCTATTTATTAATTGATTTTTGGGTTTTAGGAAAAAAATAAAGGTGAGTTTTATAGAAGCATATACCTAAAATCTCTAAGGTTTTGACATATTTCACATTTTGTGAAAATGAAGAGTAAGTTTTAAATTTCGATAACAGCTACCTAAATTTTAGTTGACCTTCTATAGCCTGATTTTTAATTACAGTAACCATTGTATTGTTACGTTTTTCGTCGGTTCCGTGTGGATAGAAAGTCACAATTTATTTAAACACTATTTAAACACTAATTGTCACAATTTATTTAAACACTAATTTAACACTAATTAACAGAAACAATAACGATAAAAGACTTATAGAACTATTTACAACCGATTTATAACTAAGAATTTATTTTGAATTTTAGCGCGTCAACTGTATATTTATAACTGCCCTCTGTAGGCCACAGCCGCCGGCTTTTATACCGACAGGTAAAGAACTCTAGAATAGTCCATAGATCGTTAGGTGCATAGAGAAGGTTTCGATTGTTCTCGTATGTACTACTCCATTCCAGTACAAGTCGATGCTTCTCGAATCTTCGAATGAATCATTACGCTGTCTATTCTTTAATGCGATGTTAAGGTCATCCGAGGGCGGGCCATATAGTTAGGTTAGGTCGAGTCCACACGGGTCCGCAACAGTATGTTAAACCAAATTGAAATTTGACCCGAAAAGTTATACAGGGTGAGACAAATTAATATGGAGCATTAGTCACTTTTTAAAGCAAGTTACTCCTTTATTTTAAATGGAACACCCAGTATATTATTCCACTGTTCAATGAAGAATTTATATATCTTCAAAATATTATTAAGGTTGCCTACCCCTCAAACAAAGATTTTCCTAGATATTTTAATTTTTATGATTTTGCGTCTGTAGATCTTTATTATTTGAAAAAAATATAGGGGGGGGTGGCTGTGATATACCTTTTGTTAATTTAACAAAAATTAAAGATTGTAGAGTAAGTAAAATACTCAACGGTAATAAAAAGATACACGTAATTAAAATATATTATAATTATTACCCAATTAAAAGTAGGTATAAACCTATAATTATGTCACAAAAATTGGCTAGATGAAATCAAATGCTCAAAATGCTTCCTTTCCTGTTAACTGCATAAAATGATTGGCTTTTCAAAAAGATCTTTTCATTTTAAAAGGCATATGTGGAATTCTACCTCGAAAAGCAGCTACAATAATTTCTCTCATGTTGTCGACAATAGTTGGTCGAGTTTTTTAAACACTGTGTTTAACATATCCCCATAAGAAAACCAGACTAGATAAAATCTGGAGCATTTAATTTTTCTATTAATTGGTGAATGCAGTGTGTATCCACCAATTAATAGACTACTTAAATGCAACTAATAGAATCATATCAATTCTTTCTGATGTAGGATAAGTTTGCATTTTCGGGAATTTCTCACAATTTTTTTTGTTTTAACTCACACAAAATGATAACTAGTTGTTAAAGTTGGACTAATTAGACAGCTATGTTGGAGTAACGTCAGACCATATCACAGCCACCTAGATGTTATCAAATAATAAAGATCTACTGAGATCAAATCATGTAAATGAAAATATCTAAGAAAATCTTTGTATGAGGGGTAGGCAACTTCAATAGTATTTTGAAGAGACATGAATTCTCCATTAAATATCGGGATAATATACTGAGTGTTCCATTTAAAATAAAAGAGTAACATGCTTTTAAAGGTGACGAATGTTCAATATTAGTTTTGCCTCACCCTGTATAACTTTTTGAATCAAGTTTTAATTTGATTTAAAGTACAATAATTAATTTAACTACATATTAAGCTATACCGGGTAAATTCCAATTTAGGTAGCTTTTATTGTAATTTAAAAACTGTTCTTTATATCTAGAAAATGTTAAATATGTCAAAAACCTTACATTTTAGTCATATAATTCTCTTATAAGAAGAATATTATTATTTATAAGGGTTATTCAACTTTTTAAGTAAAAAAACATTATGGCGTCACAAAGAACAAAGCAAAATAAAAACACTAAATCACCACAATACACCAAAACACTTTTACTTTTACACTGGACGCACGTTTCGCTAACCATGTTAGCATCATCAGCAGATGATTATAAACTGAACTCTGGGAGAAAAATAAAGGTGAGTTTGACCTTTATTCTTCTCTTACCTCACCTTTATTTTTCTTCTAGTGCAGATCCATTAATGGATGTTTCCGATAACATTTTCCATTGCTTCTCTGTTCCGGGCGGTGTGTATTAACGACTGAACATCGAGTAGCCCCGTCCACTGTCTGATATTCCTCAGCCAAGACATTTTCTTCCTTCCGATACCCCTTCGGCCTTCGATCTTGCCTTCTATCAACAAATGCAAGAATTGATATTTGGGGTGTCGCATTATGTGTCCCAGGTATGCGGTCTTTTTCTTTTTAATCAATTCAAATAATTCACGCTCTTTGTCAACGCGTCTGAGAACTTCCTCATTTGTCAATCTAGCCGTAAAATGATTTCTCAAAAGCCTCCAATTTGTTAATGGTAGCTGCTTTCAATATCCAACCTTCCATACCATAAAGGAGCACAGACCACACATAACACTTTACGAATCTTAATCTAAGGCTAAGGTCAAAATCAGAACAGACAAGTACTTTTCGAAATCTCAAGAATGCCTGCCGAGCTTGTTCGATGTGACATTTAATTTCCTTGTCTGATGTCCAATCTTCGGAGAGCCAGATGCCCAAGTACTTAAATTTATCTACTCTTTCTATGGGCCTTGAGTTAAATGTTAGGAAGGAGTTTATAAACACATCTGGGTTACTGGATATAATCATAAATTTGGTTTTCTTGATGTTGATGTTTAAACCCATTGCTTTGCTCTGTTCTCCTACCTTGTTGATCAGTGGTTGTAGGTCGTGTATATTGTCTGCAATTAAGACCGTATCATCGGCATAACGAATATTATTAATCCACACTCCATTAACTTTGACCCCCATTTCCACGTCCTCCAGAGCCTCTTGGAAAATAGCTTCTGAGTATAAATTAAATAGGAGTGGAGACAGAACGCAACCCTGTCGCACCCCCCTTCTAACTTGTATGGGATTGGACATGGTATTGGACAATTTTATTTCTGCTGTTTGGTTCCAGTATAACTTCTCAATGCATTGGATGTCTTTATGATCTATATCAAGTCTTTTCAGGAACTGCATTAAGTTGTGGTGCTGAACGCGATCGAATGCCTTTTCGTAGTCTATGAAACACAGGCACACTTCCTTTCTCTGATCGTAGCAGTTCTGGACAACCACCTGTGTTGCAACTATCGCTTCCCTGATGACTAACCCTTGTCTGAACCCCATTTGCGTATCGCTTATGTCCTTTTCACATTTTTTGTAAATTCTCTGGTGTATTATTTTCAGAAATATTTTTAGGGTATGGCTCATCAGGCTAATAAGTCTGTGATCTTCACACTTTCTAGCATTGGTCTTCTTAGGCAGGGGTATAAAAGTAGAACGTAAGCACTGTTTGGGGTAGTGACCTGTCTCATATATAATATTGAATACTTTATGTAATGATGTAATGCCTCTTTCATCTAGCAGCTTAAGTATTTCTGCAGGAATTTCATCTGGCCCAGCCGCTTTGTTATTTTTCGAATTAAGTATGGCTTTTTCAATCTCATCTTTAGTGATCGATGGGCCGGTTAGTAAGTTATTGATATCAGCTGAGTGTCTTTCATCGTCAAAAAGTTCTTCTATATACTTTTCCCAAACATTGTTTTTTTCTATGCTTTCGAGGACA